ACCCGGAAGGGTGACACGTGGTGGCTACGTGGAGGACATGCCGAACGGCTGGAGACTTGTCCCCGGCATAACGGCTATAAGTACCCACAGTAGCTACAGTGTGGGGGACTTTTGGACGATCGATAGGTTGTTACTAGAGAATCCCGACCGCAGTCAGTCGGTACTCAGAGCAACCAAGTAGATTGTACTTAGGGCCTTCGCCGTGATCAATAAAATCTCTACTTGCTTCGATTGGTCTCGGGTTTGTTTTATATTGCTTGCGTATAATTAGCAATACCAGTGTGTTAATTACCAAATGAAATTACAATGTATCTAAATTGACACTGTCTTACGTATTATTTTTATATTATCGAATGAAACTGCAATTGAATTGAAATGAAACTATAGTTGGGTTGAAATGAAACTGCAGTGTATACAAAATGAAACTGAATTACAATTTCACATATTTAAGTGTATATTGTCCAGCAAAACTGTAGTTATATCAAAATGATATTGTAGTTGTATTGAAATGAAACTGCAGTGTATATAAAATGAAATTGAATAACATTTCGCATATTTGAGTGTATATTGTGCAATGAAACTGTAGTTATTTCAAAATGATAATGTAGTTGTGCTGTAATGAAACTATAGTGTATATAAAATAAAACTGAATAACAGTTTAACATATTTGAGTGTATACCATTGATTGAAACTGTAGTTATATCGAAATGAAACTGTAGTTGTGTTGGAATGAAAATACAATGTATACAAAACGAAACAGAATATGTTATACAATTAAAGTTAATTTGTTGCGGATAGCGCGAAACATGTACCGTTTCTTTTAATCATTAAAAAATGATACTGTTTTGATGTCTAGACCATAATGCATTATATACTGCCGGTCTGCCGTCCACAGTATAATTTGCCGTACAAAACTGATCGGGCCACGCGCGGGTAAACGAGTAGATGCTGCCAACTTGCTTGAGTATCATGGGCCTAATAGGCAAAAGTGTCCATATGAATTTGATTCACAACTACAAATATGGGCCCGTAAATGGTGATGGTGCAACCGCTACACCACAAAACCGTTACGTTTTCCTTCTAGCCGTCATCACAACTTGGGAGTTGTTATACCACGGACCAAGATTCACCTTGCAATGTAGACTCAAGTTCAAAATACATAATTTATATATGGAATAAGGGTTAAATAGACCACTCAACTGCACACAAAATTACAATTAGGCCATTGAACTAAAAAAGAATGTAATTGAGTCATTGAACAACACAAAAACATACAATTTAACCCAAAATGACCTGTTGTAGCAAGTTACCCATTTTTAATTAATTTTTAAAAATAATTTTAAATTTTTAATAAATAATTAATTAAATTAAATTTTTTTTTAAAAAAAAATAGAAACATCCGGCCGGAGACGAATCGTCTCCGACCGGCTTCGTCTCCATGGCCGGAGACGAACCTCCGTCTCCAGCCATGGAGACAAAGACCTTCGTCTCCAGCTATGGAGACGAAGATCTCTTCGTCTCCATAGCCGGAAATGAAGGGGACTTTCGTCTCCATGGCCAGGAGACGAAACCTTCGTCTCCTGGCCATGGAGACGAAGGTCGTCGTATCCATGGCCGGAGACGAAGACCTTCGTCTCCGGCTATGGAGACGAAAGTCTTTGTCTCCATGGCTGGAGACGGAGGTTCGTCTCCGGTCGGCTGTTTCTGTTCCTGTTTTATATATATATATATATATATATATATATATATATATATATATATATAATTATTTATTTATTAAAAATTATTTTTAAAATTTAATTTAAAAATGGGTAACTTCCTACAACAAGTAAACAAGTCATTTTGGGCTAAATTGCATATTTTTGTGTTGTTCAATGACTTAATTGCATTCTTTTTTAGTTCAGTGGCCTAATTGCATTTTTGTGTGCAGTTGAGTGGCCTATTTGACCCTTATTCCTTTATATATTGAATGTTCAAAATTTACATACTAATTGTGAACATTATGTAAATTGTATCTTTGGACTCAAATCCACCTTGCAATGTGAACCCAGGTCAACAGAATAATTTGTCACAAAATGTAACGTTTATTAATGAGTAAATACTCAAAATGGTCCCTCGACTATAGCTAAATTCACAAATTGGTCATCAACTTTCAATTTTAACCAATTAAGTCCTTAACTTTGCAATTTTGACACGATTTGGTCCTCCATCTATTTGACCATTTGTTGACCGTGATCGACGATCTCCAGAAGAACCTTCAGCTTCGTCGGAGCACGTGGAGGCCTCCAGGATGACGTTGCATCGGTTCGGAAACACGTCGCCTTCTTTGCTCTGGTACGAACTCAACTACATTGAATTCAAAGGGAGGATGAAGAAAGGCGACCCAATTTGGTAGATTGCTTTCGGCAGTGGATTCGAATGTAACAGTGCGGTCTGGAAATGCAACCGAAACCTTAAAAACCCGATGATAGACCATGAAATTACATATATATCCTCAAAAATCACACTCAACAAACGGTCAAATAGACAGAGGACCAAATTGTGTTAAAATTACAAAGTTAAGGACTTAATTGGTTGAAATTGAAAGTTGAGGACCAATTTGTGAATTTAGCTATAGTCGAGGGACCATTTTAGGTATTTACTCTTTATTAATTTTAGAGTTAATTCTGGCAAATTATGCGATGCATACGTGTGCACCATGCATGGTGCACACGGATACAAAAACGAAGTCGTTTTAATTAAATAAAAAAAAATCATTTTCGATTGCTGTTAGTTACGTAAACATATGTTCATAATTTTGTAATTTCACATTATGGATTTATAGTTATGAAATTATGGATGTGTAGTTATGCAATTCTGGATTTATAGTTATGAGGTTATGGTGTGTAATTATGCATGAAATTCTGAATGTATAGTTATGAAGTTATAATTTCATATTCTGAATGTATAGTTATGAAGTTATGGATGTGTAGTTATGCATGCAATTCTGAATGTATAGTTATGAAGTTATGGATGTGTAGTTATGCATGCAATTCTGAATGTATAGTTATGAAGTTATGGATGTATAGTTATGCAATTCTGGATTTATAGTTATGAAGTTATGGATGTGTAGTTATGCAATTCTGAATGTATAGTTATGAAGTTATGGATGTGTAGTTATGCAATTCTGGATTTATAGTTATGAAGTTATGGATGTGTAGTTATGCAATTCTGAATGTATAGTTATGAAGTTATGGATGTGTAGTTATGCAATTCTGGATTTATAGTTATGAAGTTATGGATGTGTAGTTATGCAATTCTGGATTTATAGTTATGAAGTTATGGATGTGTAGTTATGCAATTCTGTATTTTGTTTTTTTAAGTCGGATGTCAAAACGACGTCGTTTTTGCAACCGTGTGCACCATGCATGGTGCACACGGTTGCATATCATAACGCTCCGTTAATTTCACTAGAGGTCCCTTGTCTTTGATGGTAATTTCAAATTTAGTCTCAGACTATTGTTTTTGTCATTTAACATCGTAGACTATTATTTTTTGGACACTTTTAGTTATTCTCATGATTTATATTTTTAGTAAGGACATTCTTGTCTTTTCATATTTTTCTTTTGTTATTTTTTCGGTTTCAATCGGTTTAATTGATTTAAAACTTTAGATAACCTTTGATTTTTAGTAACCATATTTTTCAACCAGTTTTTAGTAAAGTTTTAAACCAATTAAACCGGTTAAAATTTAAAAAATAACAAAAAAAATATGAAAGAGACAAAAATGCCCTTACAAAAAACAGGAAAAGTCAAGAGAATGACTAAAAGTGTTCAAAAATAATAGTCTGAGATGTTAAATGATAAAAATGATAGTCTCAGAATAAATTTGAAATTAACACAAAAAACACAGAACATCTTGTGGAATTATCTCTTAATTATACAAAAGAAGTCATATTTTGCTGAATATATTATATATTTTGAAATATATCTCATTACGGTATGCCATAAGACCAATCGGCCTTATTTTTAATTGGGAAAAAGTTTTTTTTTTTTTTTCATTTTATGTTTATCGTTCACCTATATATTCATGTAGTGACCAAGACTATATGGTCTAATGGTACCCGAGTTGGACTTCCATTTGGAAAGTTACGAGTTCGAGCCTCAGTAGAGGCGTTATTGGTTCTTTGTGTTTCAGTAGGTTGAGAAAGTATATGAACACATACTACAATATAATAGGGCCAGTAACATTCAAAAAAAAATATATATTCATGTAGCATTATTATTACAATTTTTTTTAAAAATAAAAGTATATTCATTGACTACTTATAAATTAGTTGTCATAAACACAGATTAATTAAATACTAAAATAACATTAAATAGTCAATAAAGTTAGTGTAAATTAACATAACTAATCAATCGACATATTCAATTGACACATTTATGCGATTTATTTCATCTACCAATCACAACTCATAAAAACAAGAGCTTTAAATTTTGATCCGCATAGGTTTAGCTCACCAGTTCAATATATAGTATTTAAAAAAAAAAAGAACAAGAGTGTTGAAATTTTGAGACAACCACATATATTCAAATTAGTTACGCGGTTAATTTAATAATTACAAAATTTAAAATTTGACTTTTAGTAAGAATAATTTATTGAATTATTAGTCAGTTATGAAAAACATAAACTAATTAATATCATTATAAATTTTTACCAATTACGATCACAAAATATATCTAGTACACACTGTTAAATAATTATTACTGATTTCCTCGTCACTTAAAAAAATAAAAATAAAAACAAGAGGATGGAATTTATGTTACTTGAAGTATTTAACCAGACAAGTCTAGAACGTTTAGGGACGCGAGAACCCACCATCGGTCCAGCCTGTCGGCCACGTGTCAATGCAATGTACACGCGTGACTCGACGAATCACGAAGTTTCTTCACCCCTGCAAGTTGCAACTAACCGCTCCCTGTAAACTCGTATATATTCGTTTTTTCCCTTAGCGTTCACTCATAGCAAAGCAAGTAAACAACGAAACAAGCGATCGGAGAGCTAGTTAGTGCATTTTCTGAACGGAGGCGAGATGTGGAACCAACCTTACCGGAAATCTGACGTGGAGGCCGGAGGCCGGCAGCTGTATCCCACGATGCTCGAGAATCCGCAACTCCGGTGGTCATTCATTCGCAAGGTGTACTCGATTGTGAGCATCCAACTCCTCCTCACCGTCGCAGTTGCTTCCGTCGTCGTCACTGTTCACCCTATCAAACACTTCTTTGCATCCACCGGAGCTGGCTTGGCTGTCTATATTGTTCTCATCATCACTCCATTAATCGGTATATGCTCCTTCAACTTCTCTTCCGTTTTAAATTTTTTGTCATTGCGGTGTTAATTTTTGCAATTTGTTCCTCAATTTCTATTATCATTTCCGTTTAAATAAATCAATTTGACTAAATTAATTTAAAAACTGTAATATATAAACTTATTAATATCGTATATCTATATACTATGTATGGAATGCGGAGTATAGTTTATTTTAGGAATTGCACTTGCACTATTTTAAGAAATATGTAAATTAAAGTGCATTTGCATAAAGCAAAACTGGATAAAGCTTTTAGTATAGATTTTTTACTTTTTATTTTGGTTTACATTTCACTCTTGTATTTAATCTTAAATATAGTAGATTTTTCATGACATTTGTTATTATATGTGTAAGTGTATTTAAATAATTTTTTTTTGAGTTAATTCCAATTTTGGTTCCTGCTAGAAAATCATCATTTGGTCTGACATAACCATTTTTAGTTCTTACTGAACAAAATTGTTGAAATATATTTAAATACAAAAATATTTTGATTTTTTTAATACAATGTAGGTTGATCCGTTATATATATATATATATATATATATATATATATATATATATATATATATATATATATTTATATATATATTTATATTTATATTTATATTTATTTATTTTTAAAAATCCAAAAGACCGAGATATCCTTGTATTAATGATATTTAAACTTTTTCTTTGATAAAAGACAAAAAATAGTCATGCTATAATAATATTATAACCAAAACTAAAAGTAGATTTATGATATAAAAGGACTTATCTTCCACAGATATAAAATGACTTATCTTCCACCTATAAATCTAAGACAAAAAATGAAATTAACTTTTTTTTTTTTTTTGTTTGTTTTGTTATTTACTTCTCCATATGTTTAAAACTGTGAATTTAATTATAAATTAATTAATGGTACGTTTGCTGCAGTGTTGTTCCCTTTGTATTACTATCACCAGAGGCATCCCTACAACTACTTCCTGCTCGGCATTTTCACAGTTGCTATTTCCTTTGCCGTGGGATTGACTTGTGCATTCACCAAAGGCAAGCATTTCAATTTTGTTTCTTACTTCTTTTTTCCTTCCAAGTAAAGTTCTCTTTGTTGTTGGATGATATGATGTTGCTGAGTTCCTTGGCGTGCATGCTGTTGTATTACTCCAAATTTTGGATACGATATATTCTTTTCTTGTGGTCAATGGACAATGGTGATTCCTTGATTCCGTTCTATTGCACCCATGAGAGCGATATTTTGCATTCATACATGTCACTATTTAAGGGAAAAAAAACATTTTAGAGGGACCTTCAACAAAAATATATGTCACTATTAGTGCATTTAAGGGAAAAAAAGTGTTTTGGAGGGACATCCCCAATGAAAGAAATATTATTCAATAAATGCATATACATCACAAATATATACTCTGTATATTATACATGAAGGAAACCAGTTGGGAATATGTACGCATACTAACACGTACAATATAATTAATGACAGTTGACAGTTGTACGTAGTTGATGCATATGCTGTTTGGTGATAACAATTCTGCATTTCTGCACTGCATGTCTGCATTAAAAGTATAATAAAGAGATGCAATAAGCACATGCTGCACGACCAAAATTACTGATATAGCTCAAATGCCAATCTATCTTTTCAAACTAGTGGATCTTGGCCCTTGGGTGCTTGAGTGATCTCGCATCTTTTTGGAGTTGGTGGAATTTTATTTTTGGGGTCTAAGAATTTTTTGATACAAAATAGGGCTAAAATAAGGTATTTAGGTTACATTTAATGGGTCAATAAGTTTTTTTTTTTTTTTTTGAAAACAATGGGTCAATAAGTTATTATTGGATGTATTAAATGTGCATGATGACAAGGCAATCACTGAATCACATGGCATGCCATATAGCCCAGGTTGCATCAAGGTGAGATGGTTTAATTGATTTAGACATTTGGTATAGATTTTTGCTTTTAGAGGTGCCCAGGTGTTGTGACTGTTTTCTTGCTTTATGCGCGTAATATTGGATTACCTCTTGCTGTTGCAAGCTTAACCAGTCAACCTAGTCTTTCAAGGATATTGATCTGTTGGCTGAATTGAATGCTTGGGAACAGGGAGAATAATCTTGGAATCAGCTGTGTTGACTGCAGCTGTAGTGATTTCTCTTACTTTATATACATTCTGGGCCGCAAAGAGAGGCCATGACTTCAATTTTCTTGGACCATTCTTGTTTGGTGCGGTTATGGTGCTGATGTTGTTTGCACTGATTCAGGTAACTTTGACTTCCATCTTTCACATTTACATCTATAATGAATCTCAGATTTTAGCTTTTCGATTTAACAGAAGTTGATGATCCAATTGCAGATATTTTTCCCACTTGGAAGGATCTCCCTAATGATCTACGGGGGTTTGGCATCACTCATATTTTGTGGGTACATCATATACGACACTGATAACCTCATCAAGCGCTATAGTTATGATGAATACATATGGGCTTCTGTTTCCCTGTATCTAGATGTCATCAACCTCTTCCTATCCCTCCTGACACTTCTTAGAGCTGCTGATAGTTGAAAAGACTACGTCTTGTACGTACTCTTTTCTTCCCTTTCTAAATCTAGCTTTGTTCAGTTTTATCTAACTCATGGAAATAGATAAGAAGTGTGTGATTCATTGTATATGAATGATGCAAAGTAAATACCACCTGGCCTGTTATTTCATATATCTTCTGCAGTTGTGCCATTTATCCTTCAATGCCTTTAAAGATCTCTGGCTCTGCATATATAAGTTTTCCAGGATAGAGATAAAGAGTTTTTGTAGCTGACAGATTAAATTACATGAAAAAGATTATATCACATCACAGATTGTTTCAAACAACATTACATATGCATTGTATCTTTTCTGCTACACGTACTTCCAAATCTTATGATAGGAGGGGGGAAAACACGAGGCCGGATGATTTAACTATGTGATTTCCTTTTCCTTTCTGCCACTATAGAGAGAAGCCTTGAAACGCCTTGAGTCCACATATCATACTCTTTCTGATTCTTGCATTCGAACTCCACCAACCCGCGCACCTCAGTCCTCAGCCCAAAGTACCTGCGCTGCTCTCCGTCCTCTAGCAGGTGCCTCCCTGGCCATGCAGGTATGTCCTTGCAAACCTCTATAACCACATCTGCAAAATCATGTTTAATTAGCCTATGACGATATGACCTCAAAACCACATCTTTAGTTCAATGAAATATAGTCACTTACTCTTCTTCTTTTTGGTGACTGTATTTGCCATATACTTGCTTTTCATCTTTAGCACTACCTGTAAGATTGGATGCCATTTAGCATAGAAGTGAATCTCAGATTTTTAAGATAGGTGTTAAGGCTGTATAGTGCCTAGTGCCATACCTCTCCACTGCGATGAATGTAAACAGAAACGATTTTCCAGTGAAGTTCGCCTGTAGATCAGAACAAGTGAACATATCAGGACAACCTATATATGAAGGAAACTATCAATTGTTACCTGAGATTTTCGATCTAGTTAGTATTTCTGTGTTTACCATCGCGTGTTCTCTTGAGAAGCTCACGGCCCCGAGCTAGCAACTCTTGGTTACAAGCACCCAAGAAATTCTCTTCCACATCTAACCCCTCCGAGTAACCATTGTTGTTGTTGTTATTGTTATTGTTGCTGTTGCTGTTGCTACCTGCCCCGGTTCCAATTCCCTTCTCGACGGGGATAACTGTTGCGATATTCCAAACCTCTTTCAGTGCCCTTGCCTTCAATGTAGCTGCTCCACGCAGAGCTGATAGATACATGAGGCGTTTGGTAAATAGCTGTTAGCTGATAACTAATTGATTATATTTAAAATGACTTTATCAAAAAGCAAACCAAAAAAGCTGCATTGAGCAGTTTTTTAAATTTTAATGTTTTGGAGTAATAAGTTATTATAAAAAGTTAATCAATCAAACATTCATATTAATTATTTAACCAAATCAAACAACTAGTGGTCAAACTAGTTATAGGTTAACTATTTTACCAAATTACAGTTAAATTTGTTACTCTTATGAATTGCGGGTTGAATGTTCAGGTTTAATGTCACCTGTGGCTGCAGCGGCGGTAAGAGTGGAAATATCGCCATGGGAGCGCACATTGACAGCGGAGGTGATCGCCGCCGTGAGGTGATCACGTTCAGCTCCCATCGCTTCTGCAGCCTCAACGCATTGCGCCGCCACCAGCATTGCTGCCGAAGCGACGGCCATGTCCGTCTGTGCTGTCATCTCATCCTTCCCGGCAGTCGACGCTGACGCTGCAGCCGCTGCTATTGCGGCCACCGAAGCAGCCACACCGGCCACTGAAACCGCCGCGTGGAGCTGCGCATTTCGTGCCCTGCACTCTTCCTTTTTCTTCTCTCTCTTCTCCTTCAACCATTTCCCCACCGTTTTACCGCCGGGAGCTCCGGCTACACCGCCCACATTGCCGCCGGTGCCGTTCCGCACAGTTGTGAATAGTGGTTGGAGACTGTTGTTTGCTCGTAAGTACTGCAGCCAGCCATGTGTTATAATTAGGCCTTAAATTTTTTATTTTTTCTTTAATAAATACAATAAGGGTTAAATAGCTCATCTAACTGCTACTGTATCTTAAAAAAAACTACAATTGAATATCTAAACTAACCATTTTCATGCAATTAATTCAATTTGTTGAATTTTTCAAGTTTTTTAGCAGGTCATTCATAATTTAAAAATATTTTTTAAAAAATTATTATTTAAAACTTAAAAAAAAAAAAGATTCCCCACCCCCCGCCCCCCTCCTCGAAAACCAAGAATCCTTCTTCGTCTCTGGTTGTCTCCGGCTAGAGACGAAGAAAGTTTCTTCGTGGAGACGAAGAAAGTTTTCATTTTAAAAATAATAATAATAATTTAAATAATAATTTTTAAAAAATATTTTAAATTATGGATAATCTGTTAAAAACTTGAAAATTTTACAAATTGAACTAATTGCATAAAATTAGTTAGTTTAATGATCTAATTATAAATTTTTTAAGTTAAATAGTCTAATTACATTATTGTGTATAGTTTGATAGTGTTTTTTGAATGCTACTAGCTCTATTACATTATTGTGTATAGTTTGATAGTGTAGTTGGCCCGTATTCTTCAAAAAATTAAAGACATTCTCTACTACCTCACTAGCATAATCCCTCAAGCCATCACTCCAAATTATATAACTATATTTTACCCCAGTCAAGTGCCTTAATAATTTTCTTAGTTTGAGTCAAGTTACAAATGTATATCATTGAGTAATAGTTGTGAGCTTTTCTTATCACTCAAAAAAGTAGTATAATATTATTAAATAAAATCTATAGGTTTAGAAAATATATTAAAAGTTATATTATTAAAGGACAATATGAATCTTGTTCTTACCCATACCAATCAATTCGATATCTTTGTACCTTTGCAATTTGGTAGTATGTAACACTCTTTCCAAAGTTTCATTATCATCTTTTTCTTTTTCCTTTATTATTATTTGGCTGTGTTAGTTCAATTATTTTGCATGGAGAAACAAGAAGCAAAGTAAAGTCAAAAAGGAGGATGATTTGATAGCTAAAGCATACTTGTGAAGAAAGAAAAGCAACAAAAGTATTGGTTCTCTTCAAACACGAGACAAAGTGGTTTTTGCTCTTCCCACTTTTGTCTCATCCCAACCCTTTCCATCTTATTAATGCATATAAAGAACCCATCCTTGTCTCATAATGCATCACTTCTAGACACCAAAGTTAAGTGATGATTTCACATTTAGTTCCTCGATTATTGTAACATTTGCTTTTAATTTTTTTTATAACTTTAATTCATTAATATCAATTTAATTGTGGGCCAACATCTGTCAACGATAATGTAAATGTTTTTTTTTTTTTTTTTAAATACTATTGACTTTGTGACCTCTCATTTGGAGAAGCAACAGTTATGCCATTCAATCATAACGTTTTTGGCTTTTTGCAACAACTCATTTTTTTCTCTTTTCTTTTAAACTACTTCTGGCCATTCAGGTCCATAATGTATCAATCAAATTTGATTGTTAAATTATTGAAAATATATTACATTATTTAATTCACTATTAAAATTAGGACAAGCTCGAGAACCCTTCACCATAATATATGAAAATAAATAATTTTTCATTTTTCAATTCATGAGGGACTAATAGGGAGTGGTAATGTAAGGATTGATGGAAATCATTTTCCTTTTAGATTATAAAAGACACATCTTAAATAATTAGAGATAAAATGTGATATTAACTTCAATTTAAAAACTTTATAAAGTAAATCATGGGTATTATCATATGAAATTGAAGTTGAAGGAAAATAATGGAAAACATTTTTACGTATAGTACCTTAACAACATCTTCGTACTCCTCATGAGGGGAGATTGGAGGGCTATCAGTTTCTTCTGTAAGAGGACCGTTGCTGTTGAGAGGTCCACTGCTATGAGACAACCTTCCCGAAGTTAACGGTGATATTTCATGCTCATTGTGCATCTACAAAATCAACCCAAAATAAATAAATAAATAAATCGTACTTATATTGTCTTGATTTTATATCCAAAGCTATTTAGGGTGTGTTTGAAAATTCAAATCATTTTCTGAGTTCTCAATGATCTCCGTTGACTTGAAAAATGACTTCTGTCAAAATTTGACGGAAGACGTTTTCCACAGGTTGACACTTGACAATAACAGTTTTCGGCTAAAACCAGGGCACAAGTTTTCGCCGCCGTCGGGATTGGTTTTCGCAGTGGCAACCAGAGCAGCTCTTATTTTTACGAATTTTTCTTGTCACTCAAAAAAAAATAAAAATACATAACAGTTCTCGAAATTTACCTGGTACAAAATTATTATTTTAAATTTTTTAAAATTATTATAATTCATTAAAATTCAACAAAATAAGTAGGATTAAGTGTGAATAAGTAAGAAAATGTAGACTTACGGATTGTGCCATGATGCGTTCAAGAACCATCTGAGAGGTTGCAGAAGAAGCAAAGCAGAATGTGTTATTCCCGAAGAGTTTCGCCGGCGACTCGTCGTCGTAGAAGGCATTTTCCGGTGCGGCGGCGCCGGCCATCGCACTGACTTTGGGAAGAAAAGACGAAGACGGAGCGGAAGGAGAAAGAGCCTTGCATATCTGGAGAGCAGAGGCGCTCCAGGATCTAGAGAGGAACTCCATGGGCAACCTTGGACTTTCCGGCAGCTGAACTCCGCCGCCGTCAAAGCGCTTCTCCGCCCACAAGGAGTCCATGCCTGAGCCTGTATACATATTATGATAAGTACAGATTTGCAATTATAGTGGGGGTTGTTTAATTGTTTGTGTGAGCTGAGAAACTGAGAGTGCATGTGGTGTGTGTATATATATATATATATTTATAGGCAAATTAAAGCCGCAAAAGCTCAAGAATGAAGAATGTAGGCCTGTACAGAGTGGTCAATGATACTGTTTGACTGGTCGTTATAGGGCCTACCCTTATTCCTGCCACCGGTCTTTTCCGCCAATTATTGAGAATTCTATACTTATCAGTAGTGTAATTAATTAATTCTGTCTTGTGATGGATAATTAGTAGATAGTCTTAGTTAATTTATTAATTACATTGGTTTTTGTTCACAAAAGAATTTTATCCCTTAGCCCCGACCCGTAACTTCATACTGCGGCTATCAGGACTTGATTTTGTGTCTTTGTTCATAATTTATCACTTAAAAATCAAGTGAGCTGTCTATGTGAGACTGATTAGGCTCGAATCTATCACCTCTCACTTAGGAGAACAATCGGATACTATTGGACTACAAAGTCCTTGGTAGACTGATTTATGTTGTTGTAGTCCTAAATCAACTAGAGTCACAATGCGGGCTTCACTAGAGTATACCTTCAAGTAGTAGTTGGTCGAAAGATGGTGATAGAAATTACACTTTACCTGTATATTTACACTTGAGCTCGGACCCTCGGTATATGTACAGGAGACTAGGATGCCCCCTTCTCGAGCATATCCGACCACCTTGAGTCTGTTTGACCCAAGCTTAATTGGAAAATAGTCCTAGTGTGGTTGATAGCTGCGCTTTATGCGCGGGTCACAAGTCCCCATCACATATGATCAGGAAGGATATTCCGAGCTCCAAACCATTATTATCATTAGAGAACTATTATTGCCCTATTGCATCGCTCGATCTTATCACAATAATGCGTATGTTAGGAATCTAATGGGATGTGGCGTTATCAGGACTGCCCTCGTCGGGGCTGGTGTATGTGAGACACATGCATGGTGCACATACATGCCGGATACTCGACGTTTGTTCCCTCTAGACCTCTATATAAGGCGCATTAAATGCCTGAAGGAGGGACTTTTGAACTTTCACTGAAATCATACCTAAGTCCGAGAATGTATGTATGATCACGTATTCAACTACCTAAGACCGTATATTAAGACCAAATATAATATTTCAGCGTATTTGCAATATCAGGGGGATTTACTCAAAGCACACATTTAGATAGCAACTAGTTAATTTTCAAAAAAAGATAGCAACTAGTTTAAGGCAAATTTGACTATGACCTGCGAGCAAGATCAACACCAAGGGGACTCAACCTACTATATGCGTTATCACATCTAAGAGATCCGAATTAGTTTGTCTTTTTCCTCAACACAATTACTTTTACGTCTCTTTATTTAATTTTCCTCAACTATTTTCTATTCTAATTCTACAACTTTATAAAATGTTGTGATGATGGGCATCATTCAAACATTGAGAAATTTAGAAAATGACAAGGAAATACAAACACCTTGCCATTCATTGTTCCCCAATGCCAACATATTTCAGTCTTGAATTGTTAACGTCACATGACGGCAACTTCTGGGTATCTTCTGCAATCTGCAACCAATCAAAGTTTTTTTCAGTGATTGGACAGATAACTAGATCAGGAAGAAGCTGTACGTATATATGGGTTTATGTGTTAAAGTAGAGGTTTCTGGCGTGCCTCTAGACATCATTTTATATAGACCAGACCAAACCAGCCTTTCTGATTCACTGTTACCATATATATATGTCTCAGTGTCAGGGCTGAAAAGGATATACCAATGGGACTTTAGTGGTTTTTGCATGTCAAAAAACCAAACAATGGTTTTTACACAAATGAGGAAAGTGATTTTTGTGATTTTTTTTTTTTTTTCTTGCAAGACTCAAGTTTTTTGTAGGTCCCGCAAGAGAGAGAAAATGAAGGACACGACCTATCTGCGCGTTTGGTGCACATCTCATGCTCACTGCACGCGTCAGCTGGGCGCGTTCATCTTTACTTTATTTTTTTCCCCTTCTTTTTGCTTGTGACGTCTCCAAAATGTGTCTATAATAGTAATACACTACTTTTACCGTCTTTAAGCATCTCTGTATTAATTTTGAAATAATAGTGTTGACCAACTGTTGACTCCAATAGTCGTAAAACCTAGAATAGGATCAATCATCATGACACATTGACACTTGCCACAACTTCACAAGCCAACTTTGAGAACAACTTTTGAAACATGTATGTAGTATATATTATCTTTCATGAACAAGTGATTGTTGCTATCTTCTTGTCCTTCTTCACACTATATATCAAACTTATAGGAAAAATGCAAGCTTTAGAGTGGTTGATCCATGCACTCATCATAATTAACAATTAATCACATGATACAATAAGGTTGAGCTGTAGTGTTCTTGAGACTCTTTGTCAGCCAAATGGCAGTCTCCCTAGGGGAAACCTTTTCAGGCCCAAATGGTTTCAGCAACACTGCAAGCTCTTCAAACCTCTCTTGTTGCATCAGATGTGCGCTAAACTCGAGGACCCCTTCCAACGCCTCGGCCCGCTGCTGGAACGATGACGTGTCGAATCTTTGATTGTACTTCGAACATTCCCTTCCATTGCCATCTGGTTTCTGGACTATGCACATTTCTTTCGTTATCAATCGATCACCCCCAGTGTCTGAAGACATCGTGGATGGCGTTTTCGGGGCGGGAAACTCCACCATTTTGTCCATTCTTGGAGCGTTCACGGACACACCAAGAGAGTCCACGCTGCAAAGTAGACTAATAACGTTATGTTTGCGTCGTGGCTCCACCTTTGCGGGCCCGTTTGACACTCGGGGAGAAGATCTTTGCGCTGATTGTGATCGTTTGCTGACCGGAGTGTGTGAAACTGGAAGCTGCAGGTTAGAAACCGGGGCTTAAAAGAGACACAAAGAGCCAAATGAAGGCCATCTGTGTTGAGCATATAATATATATAAACATAAATGTGCAATCCAACTATCAGCTTAGGCTTTTAGTTGAGATGGAGCACATGCTTCAATTATCTGCACCTAAATGTAACAGATCGTTACAATAATTGGTGCAACCGTTATCACTGTTAGTAAAAAAAACAGACAACATTAAACTCACAAGTTCACGAGTTGAACCGGGGTTGGATATCTTCAATGGAGGAGACTCTTTCCTAGGAGCTGCAGAGGTTTTATTCGAACTTATAAACCTCGGGGACTCTGAAAACTTTGGTATACTGGAAGGACTTTCCATGGATGGTTTCGATAAATTTTTATTCAAAGAGCTGAGGAAATCTTGAGCTTTAAGAGATAGTTCTGATTCAGAAACACCAGGCTTCAAGGCCCTATCACTGCTACTTTTAGGCTCAACAAATCTTGTTTTCTTTACATTGTCGAAACCAGTGCTGTTTACAGGGCGAGTGTCCAATGCATGATTAATCCTCGAGACGTAAGGCTGAAGATGGGGGTGTCTCAGCAAGTCTGCAGCCTAAAACGGGATGTTAAAGAGAATCAGAGAATTGTGAAAGCTAAGGATGAATCAAACAGGTTTTTGTTCCTTATTAGCATGAAATCTTTACTAGGATGTATGTACATTTGGTCTGTGTTGAGGGTTTTTTCTCAGCATACTCTTGACGATCCCCCGGCTGTGACGAAGAACAACAAGAGAAGTTTCTGAGCAACAGATTATAGCAGAAGCAGAAGCAGAAATTGAGCATTCTGCAGGCTAAGATATGCAGAATGGGGTGAAGTAATAACACTCACAATGCACCAGAATAAGTTGTGGGAAGTGGAGCCATTATGCATTTATTTATCTTGTTGATCAGACCTTGCATATCCTGCATTGCAGAAGGCAAAAGCCATATTGATGAAAAGATGACCAAAACGGGGACAACCTCAACCAAGTTGGTTAGACTATTGGCCTGGCAACCACAATTTGTTCGAAGTTCGACTCCCAGTGGGAGCAGCCTATCGGCCTTCTTGGTCAACCTAGGCTAGTTTACCTTCTTATGATCCTTTGCCAGCTAGGATCACAAGGCGGGACTTACCCAATGCACACCTTCAAATAGTGGTTGCGGGTTTCCATCGTCATTAAAAAAAAAGATGATCAAAACGGGGACAACCTCAACCAAGTTGGTCAGATCTGTTGGCTTGGAAACCACAATGTTCCAAGTTCGACTCCCAGGTGGGAGCGGCCTATTGGCCTTCTAGGCTGGTTTACCTTCTTGTGGTCCTTTGTCACCTATTGTTACAAGGCGGGATTTACCCAGTGCATACTTTCAAATAGTGATTGCGGGTTTCTTTCGTCATTCAAAAAAAAAAAAGATGACCAAAACCTGCATATAGCAATGCATATATGACTTACAAATGCTGTGAATGCAGGTCTGTGAGCAGCCATCTCATACATGCAGCAACCTACATTGCAGATAGGAGTTTGTTAACAATAAGCAAAGAAGAGTGTATTCTGCATTGATTTTCGTATCCTGTTGAGTAAGATTAATTCAGTCGAGTCTCGATTGGGTTCCATTCGAAGGGAGAAATAGGCTTACCCAAAGACCAGATATCTGATTTGGAACCATAAGGTATGTCAGCAAGAAGCTCTGGGCACATGTAACATGGAGTTCCCACCACCTACAACATAGCAGATAATATAATATAAAATATAAATGTCTAGTCTCACTGTCAGTTTAAACTTTTAGTTGAAACGGAACACATACTTCAATTATACGATATGTATAACCATAATGAAGGTACATACCGAAGAAGCTAGGTCACCGGAGGACAAAACTTTAGCAAGACCAAAATCACCTACACTCAACCAACCAAACATTGAATTAAACAAGCCAAAATAGTATGAATCATATCCAAGATTCAACCTGAGGTAAATGCTTTTACCTAAACGTATATCGTGATCTTTCGTTAGGAATATATTTGAACACTGAATCGATCAAACGCTTTATATCAGTCACAACACAGTTTTTTCAAGGATGCTAGATAGATTTTCAAGCACATTTCACCAACCTTGACATCGCGGTGAAGAATATGATTTGTGTGTAAGTAGTCTAGTGCTATCAACAATTGCACCAGCCATTTGCAGAGCTTCTGTTCATACATTGTTCAAACACTTAGATAAAATTTCTAGACTTCTATGAATCATATGAAAAAGGGATTTAAATGTTGAGTTTGTAGCATCTAATCCCTGTACAGTGGGGCCCCAAATCGCTTCACTCTTATATTCCTTATATGAGACAGACTCATATTCCTAATCCCTATATGAGACGAACTCAACAGTAAACTGTAAAGTAAGTCAGTTAACCTACCTCCTCAGAGAAGAGTTCTCCATTTGCTCTATTGATGGCTTCTCCCCTTCATTCATACAAAATAAAGTCAATATAGAACAAGAAATATAACATGATAACCCCTAGGGTTTAAATGTTTGATCTCTTCAACTTTACTTACATATCTCCTCCTTCACAATACCCTAAGATGATGCATACATAACATCCCTGAAAATGATGTTATCACTTTGAGAATGGAACACTAATATTCTTTCAAACCATAAAGCAATCATTACTCAATAAAATTGATTTGCTATAGTTAAAGGCGGGCACGGGCTCGTTCAGGACTGAACCAACCTTGAATCGGTCTAAAAGAATCAGCCTCTGCCTATCTAAAATTTGATTTCGGAAAATCATTATAAAAATGTTTTTAATAATAGGGGAGTTTGATGAAGAACCTTCTCTACCCAGGAATCTTTGTACTCCACAATGTATGGATTTCTTGCTTTGGCAATCAACTCCATCTGCAAAACAAAAAAACCAAAATGTCATGATGAATCAGCTGCAAGCCTGCAATGAACACATCACACATTTGAAATGGAGAACACTTCAACAGTTCAACATCACCTACTTAACCTACACTCTTTCGTTATCGGCTTAAACTTTTAGTTCGAGACAAAACACATCATAACTAACATTTTTCCTTAATTTTTCAGAAGACCAACTAACCTCTTGGTGGGCAGATCTGCGGGTTCTCTCAGTCTGTCGAGCAAGTCGAATTTTCTTCAGAACATATCTTCAATATAATGCCAACAAACATTCAAACCAGACATCATATATATACACACAAACATAAAAGCAAACAACTTCAATGCATATATATATAATATGACTTCTTGTCTTACTTCTTCTTTTCTTGTCTGTGTCTGACAAGCAGTGCAGAACCAAACGATCCCTTCCCAATCTGCTCCAGAATTTCATAATTTTCCATTCTAATACTCACACTTCAATTCACACCATCACAAAACCATATATATATGTAAACAACAAAAAGCTCAAAACTTTCAACTCAAAAAGATGGAGAAATTTGAAATTCAAGAATGTGGAGTGCCCAGATCCACCAATAAGAATTGCAGAAGATGAAATTGAAGTTCAAACTTATAAGGGAAGAGGGGGTGATAGATAGATGTAGCATATATATGGTATGAGTGTAGAAAAAGGTGGCAAACTGGCAATGTATATATATATATTGTTGTTGTTTTCACAATAGGTTATATGATTTGATGTATTATTCGATTTGTATTTTCTGAAAAATAGAGGAACAGGGGGGCAGGGTGCATGGACAACATAAGGACGTACGTTTGGGTTTATGTTTGATGAGCAATCATACAATCATATGGGGTTTGATTTGATTCATAATTCCCCAACAACGACTTTTTTGTGCTGCTTTAATTGTAAGACTGCTCAACTGTATTTTTCTTTGTCAGCCTACTGCTACATAATTTCAATTCGAGCCTCAAGGTCGAGTTTGTCACACAAATCTTCGTAGTGTGATTTGTGTACTATTATTACACATGAACAAAATTTATCAGTATACATACTCGGGTAGTGGCTCCGAGTAATCTCTGAACAACTAACAGTTGCATTAACAATATGCTTACCAGCTATTCCAAACGGTTGGATTTAAGAGGTGTTAGGTAAACAGCTATTAGCTAATTTAGTTAGTGAGTTTGACTAGTTTATAGCATTAATTGGCTGATTATAGAGCTGATAGTTGATTACATACAAATCATTTCTCAAAAAACTGATTGGAAAAGTTGTTTTGAGTAGCTTTTTGATTTTTAGGATTTTGAAGCAATGAACTGTTATAAAAAACTAATTAATCAAACACTTATATTGACTGTTTAACCAAGTCAAACAATTAATAGTGGTCAAATAATTTAAAATTAGCTGATAAGCTAACTATGTTCTTGATTATTAGTTAATCTCCAGGCTAGTTGTCCCATCCAAAAGAGGTGCCTACAATTATCAAGAGAATTAGTCACTGTGTTTGATAGTGGAAACTCTGGGTATACCTAAACAAAAAAAACATATATATTTTTTCTGATATAAGGAAGAAGAACAATTAGATGAAATCAAACAAACCCCAACACAATGCTGTCATGCATCTAATTATGAACCAAAAAGTTGTATCTTTACGAATGCATACATTAATATTATACTATGCTTTGTTGGTAATAGAGCATTGGGCTATTTGCTACTGATTAGGGTTAAATGCATTTGATTATGAAACTGTTCAGGATATTAAAAGTATATTATTTGTATACTTAATATACATTAGTTGATAGTATAGCCACGCAATAAAAATTATACTAAAACTTAATTAGTAGGGTAATAAGAAGAAATACAATGTGACATGGGAGTTAAAGTGTAAGCAAAAGTGTGAAGCAGTGGTTGGAGATGTGATGGGAGGTTAGTGAGATGTGATATTTTATTGATTATTGGTGAAATGGAGTTGTCAAGCAATCAAAGCTGTGGTTAGGTTCAGTTTCATGATTATTGGATATCATTATATTACTTTTGTAATTAACTCATACTCTTCAACATTTGGGCCCAATAAATAATGGGCTCAATGAGCCCAATAAATGTAAGCCCGAATGGTTTGTTTAGGCCCAAAGTCTGGCTGAAATGTGACCCGAAAACTTAAATTACTCTCATCTTCCGGATAAGAGTGGTGATGGACTCTTAGTTTTGAAGTTCAAAAACTTACTCCGTATTACAATCGTTATGCTGTAAGTACGTGCCCACCTTACATGATGCGTACGAATTTATATCCATAATTTTTAAATTTTCGGTGAGCTAAAATTTATACTTTTAGATTCATAATTTTTAAAATCGTAGGATCCATAATTTAAATACAGTAAATTCATAATTTCTATACAGTAGATTCATAATTTCTATACTGTTCAACAACTGGAATCTAAAGTATAAATTTTAGCTCACCGAGATTTTAGAAATTATGGATATAGATTTGTGCGCACCATATACATGGTACTCACGGCATAATTTGCCTCCGTATTAGTATATGGATTCTAGGATGTCATCCTAGGCCTAAAGAAATTCTCATAGAAACCTCAAAGGTAGAATTGCCCATCCTAGGCGCCCCACACTCTAACCCGACAAGATTGTGGAAATCACAATGCATTTCAACAACCTAAAGTTCTTGAATTGTCTTGCCCATAGCTCCCTATCACGGCCAATTCCATACATAGCCACATTGTTATTGCCAGCAAAGAAAGGCTATTAACTCAAGTACATGCTGCGCTCTTACTTGGGAGTATTATTGATAAATGAGGTAAATCATACTGTATCTCAACAACCTAACATGCTTGAATTGTATTGCCCATAGCTCCATATATGTCACGGTCAATTTTATACATAACCACATTGTTATTGCCAGCAAAGAAAAGCTTTAACTCTAACGTTTCAAGATATAAATTAATTTTCTAAAAGAGTTAATACCCAAAATCGTCCTCGACTATAGTGGTTTTTCTCAATTTCGTCCTAAACGACTTTGGTGACCTAATATCGTCCCATACTTTTGTGTTTCGCTCAATTTAGTCCCAAACTTTTGTGTTTTTGCTCAATTTAGTCCTTCATTTGTTATTCTGTCCATTTAGTGTTAAATAAATAGACAATTCAGTAATTTTAATATTGACATCTCTTTACTCATACATGTGAACTGCGAAATCTTTTTTTTTTTTTTTACGAATTACTCCCAGAATTACTCATAAAACTGCGAATATAAAATTTGATTTGCAGGTCCGGGAGTAATTCTGGGTGTAATTCGTACAAGAAAGAGGAATTTCGCACTTCACAAGTTGAAAGTAAAGAGAGATCAATATTGACATACTGAATTGTCCATTTATTTAACACCAATTTGACGGAATAACAAATGGAGGACTAAATTGAGCGAAACACAAAAGTCTGGGACGGTATTAGGTCACCAAAGTCGTTTAGGACGAAATTGAGAAAAACCACTATAGTCAAGGACAATTTTGGGTATTAACTCTTTTCTAAAATATTGTACTCCATTTTCGAGGTTCCCAGGCCACTACCTCTATCCTGGAGTCCATACCTCCAGTTAGTAAAAATTGAATTATGCACTTTGCAAAATGTAACTGTTAATAAAATAAAATTATCAATTTTTTGATTGATTAACCAATTGAGTTGTGTCTAAGGCAAGAAATTTATTTTCTGAATATGGGTATGAGGTAATAGAGATCCAACATTATATTAAAAATTAAAGGTGAGTTTTTTCTTATGTTTTTCAAGTTTCTAAAGCTTAATAATAAGTAATGGGGAAGTGGGGATGAAATGATAACAGATTTTACCAGTCTTTATCTCTATCATCAACCCTACGTTTACAGGACCAGCTTGCCACCTTATTGCATTTCTCTCTCTCTCACACACATGTTCATCGATCTTCATTTCTTGATTCATTTTCAGCTAAGCTATTATCCTTTTTAAAGGTGCTGGATGGTACCCCATATCTTGCTCAAAACTTTTGGTAACAATATCATCAGCATTATTGCTCTGCAGAATTGAATACCGGCCGGCCATTTTGTACAATGTTGGAACAACAACAAATGTGGTCGGGATTTAATTGTTGTGTATGTTTTATATGTTATTGAGAGATAACATGTGTTTGGGTGTACTAGATTGATCGACATTACTTGTCTTTGTGGTTCGCATATGGATTGGGTATGCTGAAATAATCTTGTAAATGTAAAGTAGGTCTTAGACTTCCATATTTGTAATTCTGAATGTATAATCATTATAATTAATAATAAAAAAAGATTGTTTAGCTCTTATACATATAAGTACACTATCAAACCATTTAAATAATCTCGTGTTTTTCTTTCTTTTATGTCATTGTTCTTGATTTCTTAATGTCATTTTTCTCAATAAAATTTGACTTTGAAAAGCATTAAAACAGAATAAGGTAATAAAGCTAGGTAGGTGGTGATTGCTGTTGGTTGGACAAGCACCACATAATGATGATGAAGATCCATGGGTCCCATTTCCTAGAGTGTTTCTCACTGGATTGTTTCTGATCAAGATTCAAGAATCTTACTAACAATGCAAAGACAATGACCACATTACAATTTGGGGTGCGATTGAGTGTAAGAGACTCATACATCCTTAACTAAAGGTCAAGGGTTAGATCCTGATGCTGGACTTGGTCCTTTAGACCTCCGCCCAACATAACCGATGTCCACATATATTGTTCGGTAATTAATGTGAGTCAGTCTGACAAGAGTTGTAACATCTTAGACATATTGGGAGCATCACTCCTATAGAGTTAATGCCACATGGGGTCCTCCGAGTATAGTGGTTTTGCCACGTTTAGTCCTAAACTTTCAAATTGACCATTTGTGGTCCTTCAACTTTCCAATTTAACCATTCGTGGTCCAAGTTAACCACTCATGGTCCTTCAACTTTCAAAATTTAACCACTCGTGGTCCTCTTGAAAAGACTATAGTTGGTTAAATTTTGAAAGTTGGAGGACCATGAGGGGTTAACTTGGACCACAAATGGTTAAATTTGAAAGTCGAAGGACCACAAATGGTCAATTTGAAAGTTTAGGACTAAACGTGGCAAAACCACTATGCTCGGAGGACCTTAGATGGTAATAACTCCACTCCTATATGTGTAAGATTTGATAGTACTTAGACATTTTAGATTCCTCTTTAAAAAAAGTGAGATTAAAGTAAGTAGAATGGTGACGGTGGATCTTTTCAATAACATTATTCTCAGTTGACTCTCATCATCCCTAACATTGAAATTTTTACTATTAGAGCAATGTACCGCCCAAACTGCTCCAATTACGTACTCTTATGACAACACCTTTAAGCAAACTCTAATGTAATTGTACTATTGATTATAGAAATGTTTTGACTAAATTATCAAGACAGTCTAATCGATATCAATTCCTATCTCGATCAGTAATAATATAATTAATGTGATGGAAAATAATATTCAACACATATTGGCCATTCATTAGGGAATATGTGACATAACTACTAGTATATCAAGAACAGCCATCGGATCATGTGTTGATGCATAGTCCAAGATGAAAGTAGGAATGGGTGGCAATGTTGCTAATGCTTTGTTTTTTCACAAGATTTAGTTGAATAATAAT